AACACACGTACTTTCAGATGAATGCGCGTTGATTTAACGGTTAAAAATATAATGTACCCTTCAAAATAACATAACAATACAAATTAATTTGCTTTGACATCCATTTCTATGCCTATATATACCATATTTGTAGAGCAAATTCGAACTCCAAGAAAGTATTTGTAACAGTCCAAGAGGATAGCTCTATTATTTTTTTAAAAAAAAACAAGTGGGCCTTGATAAAGTAATATGGAAATAGTTGAGGGCTACTTTTATAATTTGTCATAATTAAAATCATCAATCAACTTTCTAAAGGAAACCACATGAGTGGGCAAGGGGTAAAAGGTAGGTCTGGTGGAGTGGCTAAAGTGCAAAAAAGTACCAACCAATTATGGTCCAAACAACATACTTGACCAGACAAAGGGTTTAAAGTTGTATGTATGGAGCAAAAAAGAAAGCCTTGGTAAGTGATGGGTTTAATTGAAGAGTGTTGTACAATAAAGTATGACGGGTCGACTCGTTTAAAATGCAGTACGTTCATCTCCATAAAAAATGAAATATTATTCGACACTTTCCCCATAAAGTTGCAGAAAACAATTCATAGAAGAAACAACAATGTTCTGAGGTAGAATATGAATAATAATAATAATAATCTTCACTTGGGAGTAAACCGTATGTAGCATTTTAATAACCTGTTGTGGTTAGTATCTCAATATCGAACAAGGTTCATATTGGGCCCGAATTTTGCATTGAGTTCATAAAGATTCGAGCTTTGTTCATCCTTTATGGCTGCAAGGGTTGCGAGTCGACATTATAGGGCAGTTTGCAAGGGGCCATTGGGTCTTTGGGCTTGTATTTCCCGAGCATTTCAGCAACAGTTCTGCATCGGCACTGATTACCCGGCCTAATAACGTCTCCATATACAGCCATTTCAATAATGTCGAGTTCCTTGTCTACAATTGAAAAGGGAAAAGAGGGATGCACAACGATTAAATTGTGAATTAATTACATTTTTCTGATTCAAATGAAAGTACAAAAAACAAAAATTAAAAAGTTCAATCGTAAGTAGTTCAATCCAAATGACGAAAAGAAAGGAAGAAAGAAAGAAAATGTCGGCTAGTATTCCTCGCAACAAACAAAAAAAATTAGAAAAACTACGACTTTCAACTTGTTCCAGTCCCAATAGGTACTTTTACTTCTTAATAAACAAAGAGCTGAAGAGAAAGAGGAATGTGAAAGATTTAGTCATGAAGTTTTATATTGCAGTTAGAAAACAAAAAGGAGAAAACAAACAGAAATGGCAACACCAAACATATGTGATTCAACAGATTCTGAAGCCTAGATGGTGATTACCGATTACAGCTAGGGCATCAGTTAAACTACATTTTCAATAATTTTGCTCAGTCTTTTAGTAGTACCAAACTCTAGCAGCCACAGCCGAAACAGTTTGAACTACGATTTATTTAACACGACTCTCTTTTCCAAGTATTCATTGTCAACTGCACAACAGCCTTTGCAGTCTGCATTAACGGTTAGAGAGAGAGAGAGAGAGTTTTCTTCTAAAGAACATAAAGTTCATCGCATCACTCTTATGATAAACATCGCAGCCTGTTGACTATAGTAAGCCTCTCAGCAATTATCTCAAAACTATATTTTGAAGCAGATTTTCACCAAGTTTATATGTCTAATTGCAGCAAACTATTAAAAGTTCATGCTCTACGAAAATCAAACTGTTAAAAACCGATCACTTTATAAACATACCTATCAGTCGCAGCCTAACTTATTTAACCAGATTCATCCTCATACAAATCCTCTCCTAGTTAATTTTTGCAATTTCACTAAAGGGACCAAATTGAGAAACGAAAAACACAAGTAAACGAAAAGATAATCAGATCACAAACCGAAGGTAAGATGAAGCAAAAGGTAATGTATATGTATATACCAGTGAACTTAATGTCACAAGAATAGCCTTTCAATTGGGATCCATCAATCTCCTGCTTATCGGATTTCAACCGGTTAACCCTCGTCTGTAGAATCTGGCAATTTTCAGCCACCGACTCGCCACCTGCACAACACCCCCAAAAACCTTCAAAACCCTCATCTTTTAACCCTATCTAGAAGATGCACAATCCAGAAATACTCGTCACAAAGACTGTTTATACTTGAACAAAAACGCCCAATCTTCGACAAGAGATTTATCAAAAGCTAAAACCGCCCAATATTTTAACCCTGTTTCTACTTGAGCAAAACCGCCCAATATCTTCGACAAGAGAACAAAAGCTAAACTGAAGAAGAAAAAGGGACCTTTGGAATAGGGGATTATGTGGTCGTACTCGAAGCAGAGACAGCCATGGCAGTTGCAGAAGCGCTTGCAGACAACGTTGCCGGCGGCGTCCTTGCGCCACCGATCGGGATGGCGGCCGGGCACCGTATCAGCCTTCGCCCAGCACGCGCTCTTGGCCTTCGAGTCGAAGAATCTCGGCCGCTCTTCATCTTTTCTCCGAGCACTCCTCGGCGATGAAGAACCCGAACCCGAATCTGAGCTCATGATTTCCTTCCCGGAAATTGGAGAAGCTCGCCATTTTTATTTTTTATGTGGAGCTTTTGAGAATGAAAAACAAAAAACAAAATAAAATTGTTTATTAGTTTTTTTTTTTAATTCTATATTTCTATTGTATATAATCATTTACTTATACTATAAAATATCATATTTTATTTTTATTACTATTTTATGTAAATTTTCTAAAAGAATATGACCAGTTGCCTATTAATATTTTTGGATATAGTGATTATTTTTAACATAACATTTTAATAAATTTGCTAGAATAATATGACTAGCTATCTATTAGTAATTAGTATATAGTAATTATTGTTGATTGGAAGTTGGAAATGGGATTAAAATATAATGACTACAATTGATTTAATGTAAAAATAATAAAATAATAAGTTGTAGTTAAAAATATACAACTATGTACATGGTCGTTAATTATGTTTTCACCTTTTATTGGCGAAAACTATTAATAAAGAAATTTGCATAAGAAAATGAATAATTTAAAAAGTGATGAATTTGTTAGATACTAATGGAGTGATATGGTGATGTAATTTGAATTTAATAAAAGAATAGAAGATACTTAAAATATAGTAAATTTATATTAAAAAAAAATAAGACAATGATTAAATTTTATTTATAAATTGAAAGAATAAACATATAGTAAAATCTATAAAAGAAAATATAATAATGATTAAATTTTAGTTATAAATTGTAAGGACAATAATCTCTCTCTCTATATATAAATAATAATAAAATAATAATAATAATAATAAAATAATAATAATAATAATAATAATAAGATTTACCATTTTTTAAAATGGCAAGTCAACTCTTTGGTCAAATTCAGACATAATTAATAAGTTTCTATTAATGGCAAACTTTTTTTTTTTGCATTAGTTTCGGACATCATTCGTGTACAACATTAATTAAATGATATCATATTAGTTTGTTACAGTATAAGCTACAAAAGACGCGTCTTAATTGTTTGGATAAAATTTGAAAATTTCGCTATGATTTAAATTGATATGCATGAGACGGTTTTTAGGATAGTTTATAGAAACAACTAATCCCTTAATTAAAAGGATTTAGTATTCAAATACACATTATCTATATAAATCAGAACGGATTTGTTGAAACATTCTACATAATTCAAATAGTAAAAAAAAATCTTGATGTGTTGGATGATTTTTTTTTTCTTTTTGTACTAATTAAAAAAAATATATTGTTTCACTTTGGTACAAAGTCTTTTTTTTTTAATTGTTTTTTCCCCTTAAAACTCGGTTACACATTATTATCAGCAATCAGAATTTTGAAATATATGAATTGTCGGGTCACCGATTCAACTGTCGGGTCACCAGGTCACTTGCTGAACCAGAATTAATTTCTAAATTTTTAAAATTATATATAGAGTATATTTGTCATATAAATAATATACATAAAAGTAAAAAATTAAATATTTTGTGTATAAAATTTACACATTAAAATATTAATAATATTTACCTCATTATAAATATCTACCATATAAACATACATACACAATTTTATTTTTAAAAAAAATAAAAAAATAAAAATATATATATATGGACCAGGTCAATGTCCCGGATCGGCCAGGTTTTGACCGGGACCTTTGTTGCCCGGTCCAAACAGCCCACCCGAACCGGTTCTGGCTACGGGTCGATTCACCGGGTCGATCCGAATCAAACAACTATGATTAATATTGATTACCCTCATCTTTAATTTATAATTATTTTTTAATATTGTACACAGGGTATACGCACTAGTGAGATGGAAAAAGTGAGTTACTAAAAAAAAAAAAAAAAAA